GGGGGAACCAAGTGATTTTCTTTCCTGCAACCCGTGGTTGCAGGAAAGAAAATCGCACTGTCTATGGCCAGCTTTACTATAGTTCATTTATAATCATTGCAATAATGGAAAGATATGAAATCTTCATTGAATCTTGAGTGTGCCTATATATGGCCCATCTTACACATCTAGATTTAATCAGAAGAAGCAACCCCTCACAAAGCACAAATGCCCTGACTGTGGCTGTCCCTTCCTGGCAAGAACGCCATCTTTCATGTCACATCTTTGCAGTTCCCAGGGAGAGAGGGAGAGGATTAATTGTGTATTGTCTCACTTCTGATGGCGTAATCTTGTGTGTGTGTGTACAGAGGAGGGAGGAGGATAGGCTTGGAACAAAAGAATGGTTGGGACGGTTTCGGAGTCTCTCAGTGCTGCCTGGGAGATGCTTTGCGTTAAAGCTTCTATCAAGACAAACACTTTGGCACACAAAATATCAGTGCTGTGAGGCTGGAGCCAGAGCCACAAAGACCCTGAGAACATCCGTTCGAACACAATATAACCAACCAGTTCAGAATGAAAAGCTGTTTTCCTCTGAATTGCCTTCACCCCTCCACTGCCAGAGGGTTTAGCAGTGCCATTCAATTCTGTGGCTTGTCAAACCCCTTTGGCAAGTGAAAAAAATGAGGCTCATCCACCACTTAACACCTATTGGTATGCCCTATGCATCTTCCAAGATATCTATAAAATTCCCACTATAACACAGCCTATATTTAGATGTTGTTATTACAGAGATGCGGGAGGAAAAATATGGGGGAATTAAAATATTAGCAAATGTTGTTCTCCACATAGGTATGAGTTTCATTATGAATGAGTGTTATACCATTCCAATGCGTCCTATTCTCCAGGGCCTCTGCTTTCAGAAACTGTATCATGTTTGGGGGTTCTAATTAATTTTCTAGCAAAAAAATGTTGATTTTAACATATATTTGAAGAATGTCAATAAAGTCTTCTCTCTCTGGCTACTCCTGCGAAGTAGAGCCCCAAGAAAATATGCAACTTAAAGTGGTTTTAAAGGCTGAAGGTTTTTTAGAATGCATGAAGGTAAAAAACCTTCTGTGCAGGGGTGGAATGACAACTCATGGGGTCCCTGGGCAATAGGGAATCATGGGGCCCCTGTGTCCCCCTACTACCAGGGGACTTCATGGGGCCCCCTACTGACCCCCGGCCCTTGGGCAGTGCCCGAGTGCTTGAATGGTCAGTCCGCCCCTGCTTCTGTGTGCAGCAGCTCCCCCAGCACCTCCAATACTTACCGGAGCCTTATCGCAATCCAACAATGTGAACGACAGCTTCAGTTGTCCCGAGTCTCTGCCTCCTCATTGGCTGAGACAGCAAGCAGGAACCATTTGCTCCCGCTGCTGTCAATCTCAGCCAGTGAGCCAATGAAGGGAGGGGGTGGGGCCAAGATTTAGCTCCGTGTGTGAATAGACACACGGAGCAGCGGGTGCCCCCATAGCAAACTGTTTGCAGTGAGGGCACCTGACAGGAGGGAGGGGCCAGGAGAGCCTGTGGGGAACCCAGAAGAAGAGGAACTGGGCTGCTCTGTGCAAAACCACTACACACAACAGGTAAGTATAGAATGTTTGTTATTTTCCCCCCAGAAAAAAAAAAAGAACCTTTAGAATCATTTTAAAACTTTCATCTGGGCTCCTCCTTTAAAATCAAATTTTCCACTTAATAAGCAAAATGATATTGGCAGTAGTGGAAATGTTGGCCATAGCAACCAAGCAAGATTATTTGTTGGAAATATCAAAAAGGATTCTGGTTGCTAAGAGCATCATTTTAACTTTTGCTACAGTTTTTCTTCTCTAAGATATTGATTTATCTACACTGTATGCTTACTATGCATCAATGGTAAAGAAATGCACATTGCTTGAGAATCATTCTGTTTGGCAGAGCACATCAATCTGGGAATACCTACAGTCTGATCTGAGCATGATCAATGCAACACATAGCAGGTCCAGCACTGAAACTAACACTGTTTTCTGGCATAATCTGTCACAGTAAATCATTGGTGTTGCTAAGCCATTTATAATAATTAAATGTATAGTCTACATTCTTACAAATATTGATGTAAGGTTTTTTTAGTTTACTGTATAGTACCTAAACATAAAGGTGTTAATAATAACAATAATTTCCTGAAGTCATAGTAATAAAAGATGAATACTGGTAGTTATAGGTTACTACAATCTGCACATTGCCCTTGTCGTTATTAATAATTGCAGTTTCAGCAGAAGGTAAAGGCAAGCACACTGGTAAAGTGACTTGGTGAAAAGGTGAATAAATAAGCCTAGCTCAGCCCTGTTCCTTGGTTAAAATGCATGGAGGAGGGAGCTGGAGAAAGAACTAGCCCACTTTAACAGGCTATGGAATTATGCTACTCCAGGGACACTAGCTTTACTGGAACAGTGTGTATAATGACATTGTTGAGAAAACAATTGCCTCCCATCTAGTCATTTGTGGCCCACAGATTTCATAGACACCAAGAAGGATAGAGCTGTATATACACCATACAACTTTCTATATATATTTATATATTATGCTAGCATGCGTGTGTCAGTTCATTAAACAGAAAGAAATATATTCTAAAAAAAAATCCAAGTGGTAGCAATCTGGAGAATGTGATGTTTAGCACAGTGTGCAACAGTTTGCGATACATTGTTACATTAGTAGTCAGCGGAGAAGTGCACAAGAGCAGTGGCCATCAGAAGAGAAGCGCATGAGTACAGTGGCAGTCATTGGAGAAGTACATGGGTGCATTGTAAGTCAGTGGAAAAGTGCGCGAGTGATGTGGCAGTTGGTAGAGAAGTACATAAAATCTGCCCCAATCAACTAAGGTATGCACTATTTCAATGTATTCCAACAGTTTTTCACTGGTACAATCCTGCAAAATCAATCAGCAAAGATCTTTATCCTCCAATGTCAGTATCACATGAAAAAATAGTCTCTGCTAGATGCATCTTGACACAAAGACAGCAAATACTAAGAGCAAATAGCTCCCAGTTTCTAAGTGCAGCTCATCTGGCTGTTAGTGGGCTCCAGTGTTTTGTCAAGAATCAGCAGCAGGGTCGGCCAGATCTGTGTGGCTACACTCAGGAGGCTGGGACCAGACTGCATGCTTTAAATTAGATCTATTTACAGTGAAAAAAATCCATACAAACACTAGTAAAAAGCAAACATAAAAATATAAGTGAACTAAAAACACAGTGACAGAATACCAAACTAGTCTCTTTGCTATATGGGGATGTCTCTTTGCTGGACTGGCCTGTCTCTTTGCTAAATGGGAATGTCTCTTTGCTTGATTGGGCTGTCTGTTTGGCATTTTATGGCGCTTATTTTTGCAAGTTAAAAGAAATTTAGCAGTTTCGTGTTTTGGTTGTTTTATTATTTTCTACTGTTTTGAAATTTTTTAAGTTTTAATTTTTAATTGTTTTGGGGGGGGGGGTGCAAGTAGATGGTTTACCCTAGGGTGCAAAATAGTCTAGCAGCAGCTCTAGGAGCAAGCATTGGTTTTGGGTGTAACTGGGCTTCTTGAAAAAACACTAAATAATTATTACTGGATAAATGTTACAGATTAGAGAACAGAGTACTGTACTGGTTGTGTGATTGTGCTGTAATTGCAGTGCCAGTAGGAACTGTGCTAGCTGCACAATGTACTCTCCCGTAATGATGCTTAGAAACCAGCCTTCTAATTAAACGATCTTACTATTACAGATAATTGCAGCACTCTTATATTTCTTTCCAATGTATCTCGGCGCTAAACCTGATTTTACCATTTGGTCACAGGCAGACAATCTAGGTGTTCTGCTGACATGCTAATGAACTGACATTAAAATGCTTTATACAGGCTTGGAAAAATCAGTATGTAAATAGATAGAAAACTGGCTAAAAGATCATATTCAGAGAGCAGTTAATGATTCATACTCTGAATGGTCTAGGGTTGTCAGTGGTGTACCCCAAGGTTCAGTGTTGGGACCCTTACTTTTTAATATATTTATAAATGATATTGGGCCTGGGATTATAAATCCCATTTCAGTCGTTGCAGATGACACCAAGCTGTGCAGTGGAATAATGTCCTTACAGGATGTCTTCAATTTACAAGCCAACCTCAATGCACTGTTTAATTGGGCAACTATGTGGCAAATGAGGTTTAATGTTGATAAATGTAAGGTTATGCACTTGGGGGTTAAGAATATGCATGCATCATACATACTAGGGGGGTACAACTGGGGGAATCAATGGTGGAGAAGGATCTGGGGGTTCTGGTAGATCACAAGCTTAATAATGGCATGCAATGCCAAGCTGCGGTTTCTAAAGCGAGCAAAATCCTCTCTTGCATTAAAAGAGGTATAGACTCCAGAGAGAGATATCATATTACCCCGGTACAAATCATTAGTAACACCTCATCTGGAATATGCAGTTCAGTTTTAGGCACCAATTCACAAAAGAACATTGGGGAACTGGAGAAAGTACAGAGAAGGGCAACCAAACTGATAAGAGGCATGGAGGAGCTCAGCTATGAGGAAAGATTAGAGGAACTGAATTTATTCTCTCTTGAGAAGAGGAGATTAAGGGGGATATGATCAACATGTATAAATACATCAGTGGTTCATATAGTGAACTCGGTGTAGATCTATTCACCCCTGAAGTCATCACAGAGGACAAGGGGGCACTCTTTACAAGAGTTGGTTCTGGAGGAAAAGAGATTTAATCTCCAAATACGGAAAGATTTCTTGACAGTAAGAGCGATGACAATGTGGAATAAAGATTCCCTCAAGAGTTGGTTCTGGCCAGCTCAGTAGATTGCTTTAAAAACGACACCGGATCGCGGTGGTGCGCGCTCCTAGGGAGCGCGCACAGCTAGAAAAGGCGGGTGCCGTTTAGGAACGGCAACCGACCTTGGACTGCCACACCGCCCTGCGTTTAAAAAGCAGCGGCCAGGATTATTTCTTGGTATACACTGAGTGAGCTGTGATTGGTCACAGCTTGTCACATGGTACAAGGCTGTTGTGAATAGCCTTGTACCATGTGACCTCTGTGATCATTCACAGATTTCACACGTAGTAACAATGATGTCACAAGTGACATCTTGCTTACTACTTTGCATGTGATCATAATATAACTGGATACTAACATTTATAGGTAAAGTTGATCCAGGGAATATCTGATGGCCTCTTGGGGGATCAGGAAGGAATTTTTTCCCCTGCAGGAGCAAATTGGATCATGATTTACTGGGTTTTTATTTTGCCTTCCTCTGGATCAACTGTGGGTATAGGATTATAACTGTATTTACAGCCACTTGCATTACCACCTGAACGCCACCTCCTGTCTGATCAGCAGTGGCATTAGATTCTCAAAGGAGCGTGAGCCCTACTGTAAACTGCGCATGCGTGGGACCTAGGTTGCATGTTCCTTATGAGAATATAATGCCTCATGATCTCAGGTGGAGCTGAGGCGGTGATGCTAGCGCTGGGGAGTGTCAAGTGATAATTTATTTGCATCTGGTGGCAGGCTTTAGAGTGGCAAGTGAGCATCTTACTTCAATTTTAAGGCTGCATCTGGTGGCAGGCTTTATATTGTCAAGACCCAAAAACCATTAGCCCCATCCCTAGCAAAAAAAGGTTGGGATTGCTTCCATAGATTACCTGATATTTAAAAGCAAGCTTCTAATTTGCACACAGTTTGTGATAATCTGCTACATGTGACCTCCCATAGGGTGATAATGAGGGCCCCCTGTTCAAACACTTAGTATAATATCTTTCCTTGTAAATCTACTTACAAGGGGGCCAGGTCCTCTTCTGTGCGAAAAGCAAAATCAACAGACCAAACAAACCTTTTGTCCTTTCACAGATGACTGAGATTCATAGTGGTTTCTGGCACTGGAGATATACTATATTGTCAACAGTATTGGGACACCCCTCCAAATCATTGGATTCAAGTGTTCCAATCACCTCCATGACTACAGGTGTATAAAATCAAGCACATAGGCATGCAGACTGCTTCTACAAACATTTGTGAAAGAATAGGTCGCTCTCAGGAACTCAATGAATTCAAGCGTGGTACCGTGATAGGTTGCCACCTGTGCAATAAGTCCATCCGGGAAATATCCTTGCTACTAAATATTCCACAGTCAACTGTTAGAAAAATGTGTGACAATATTGATAAGTAGGCCCACAGTCATTTATAGAGTGCTCATGGTCCTTCATCTGTAGTCATGCCAGGAAACAGGATATGATAAATCTGCTACGAGCAAAACAGCAATCTGAATTATAAGAAAGCACTATATATATATATATATATATATATATATATATATATATATATATATGTACATATATATTTTGTAATGTTGATTGGTAAGTGGAAAATGCATGCAGCATGTCTTTTGCACTCAGGATGATTATGGCCTCATTGATTGTTTATTCTCCTAAACTGATGAAATTGTGAATGTAGGTATACCAACGGTAAAGTTGGCCATATTCTAGTAAAATTTTCACTTGAAAATTTCCTTTTTTGAAATATTCATTTGATTTTATAATGTTTTTTGAGTACAAAACGATGATCGCTTTTGATCATAGTGATAAGAAAATGCAAAGGGGAAGGATGAAAATTTGTTCTGGAACAAACAAAATTCTAACTGTGAATGTGGTTTTTATTCATTCAGGAAAAATTGTACACATTGTAAATGGGCATGTTCTATACACAAAAGTAATAGCAGCTCAGGATGAAATTTTAAGGGCTTTGGAACAAAATTAGTGGACTAAGTGATGGCAAGACAAAACATTTCTCAGAATTTCGAACGTTCAAGCAAAATTCTACTGGTGTATGGCCAGTTTAAGTCTTAAAAATCCTAGCCTTAGAAGTTGTCTAATTTCCCCATTTATAAAAGGGCAATACCTAGCACTGCTAGTGTTCACTCGGGCAGGGAGCTAGTTGTCTAGATTGCCCTGGCAGTAAATAAATATAATAGGTGATGGCTGGGATATCAGTTTCTATAAAGGCTGTGAAATATGAAATCAGCAGATATAATTCTTGCATTTCATCACTTGCCACTATGCTGCTGAATAAGCAATCTAGCCAGAAAATGATCCTCGTGGTGAAACTGGCCAAAAGCTACAATAATGACAGGTATTATCCAACTGCTTGCCTCCCTCCATCTCTACTCCAGTTTGATAAAAAAAAAATCAGCATTATATGTGCACAATTCTATTGTATGCTATTACCATTATTATCCAGAATGCCATCTTCTGTGAACCTCTCTAAATGGGTTTAATTGTTTTACTGGTTCTGTGGGCTAAGCCTTGCTGACCCTCCAATCTCCAATGAAAGTGTACTTTTTAGCCACTATGGCACTCCCATTATACAGGGGGTGGCTGGAGAGTGTAATACTTTGACACACACTTAAACCGTGACATCTGCTGTCACTCCAAAACGGTAAACAGCTCTGTAAAGCTCACCACACACACTACAATCTGATTGTACAATCTCCTTTATATCTACTGGCAACTCTGTAGTGCCTGCCTGATTGGATGAAGATTGGTTTGATAGTTTGGTAGGTTCCTATATTACATAGTTTTGATAAATCTAAAGTTGATTGTACAGAGATTGTGTAATCAGATTGTAATGTGTATGGTGATACTAGAGACACAAAGGACACTGTCTTGCCAGTGTTCTCAATGCTGACAGCTTGTAGCTGGAATCCTTCAATGTGGAGCTCTCAGTACAAGGGATAGAATTCAGGACAATTGTTCCCAGGACACAGAGTGAGGTCAGCATACATAAGTTTGTTTAGTGTTAGAGATTAGTTTTTTGGTTATGCCAAAGTGTATGTAATAGCAAACATATCATTTAATATAGGATAAATGATTTTCTGTTGTATATTATTTGCTCTGTTTTTATGTTTTTTTTTTATTTCCTATTTCTAATTTTACCTGGTGACCCTGTCAGTAGGGGTGTTTCCTGTTGCAGGGTGACAACACTGGTCCAGTGTCTCACTACAGGAGAAGTGTTGTCATTCTGTTTGGTGTGCTCCCAAGAACTATAGGCTAAACTACCAGCACGGTAAGCCTTTGCTCCCATTCACACCCAAGCATTTTGTTGCACAATTCTCAAAGCCTGCCAGTGTTCAAGGTGAAGAATTTAATTTTTCTCAGGGGGCCCATTGACACTCCAGCATTCTGTTGCTTGTTGCCTGTCCCATGAAACTTGAAAAAAGTACTTTAGCTTTTTTTTAGGGCAGAATTGCACACTTTTTAGCTTTATAAACTAATGGGAGAAAACCCTTGAAAAAAACAAGTATTTTCAGGCACTATGATTTTAAATGTCTGTGGGACCAACAGACATTTGGGGCTAACTGTGCAAAGGCCACCCCACCTGCAACACCTCTGCAGTTGTGATTGATAGCAGCTCCGAGACCTGTGCACTTTGTAAGGGACACTTTGTAACGCAGGAACAATGAAGAGAGCTGTGGTGTTTACACTCGCTGAAAACTACCAGAACCAAGAAGCCAGGATTTGTGATTCTGCCTGGGAACGTCCTTGGTACGTTCCCAAAATAAGCCTTTCTAGCTGTGGGGCACCCTGTGTCCCATCTCGCAGATCCACTTCCTGAGAGTGATTATTGTGAGTGAAGACTGTCCAGACTGCAGATCCAAATGTTCTTTTCCAAGTGACAGAGACATGCCCCTATATTCAAGGGAAAGCTGCAGGCTTCTTCTGTCCTTCAATCTGTCAGAGCAGAATAATTACCAAGCAAATGGTAATGTTTTTATTCAATGTTTTTAATTAGAAAAAGCTTGCCAAACGAAACAAGGAGCATGCATTCATTTAGGTGTAGTGAAGCACTTAGAATGCATTAATATGCATGTCTAGTGCCACCAATCTGACAGGTTGTAAGGCAGGGAAGTGACATGCTCAGTAAACAAACAAACAGAGGGCGCTGCCATCTAAGTGTATCAATTTAATTAAAAACAAGTAAAAAAAAGAGTTAAAATGCACTCACAAGGATGAGAGTAAATGGGCATATCATCCGTCCCTATTTGCTGGCAAGCCTCAGTGGACAATGGGTGGTTGGATGAGATGTATCCTTAAAACAGCTCTGCAGGATAGGTGGAATGAAGCTGGACTTTGTCAGAATGCAGATTAAGTCCATATGATAGGCCGTGTCTTCCTCCAGCAGCAAATATAGCCACACTCGAACACAAGGACCAGAATCAGAAGTGACGTTGGAACGTATTGACTTCAAAGCGTGATGAGTGGTAACATGTTTCTGAGCCCACAATTGCTCCTTTATCAAACCAAGAGTGACCTGATCAGTTTTGTAAAATAGGAATCTATAAGGCAGTACTAGGGTTGTTGGTTCGAATCCCAGCCACGGCACCTCCTGCCTGGAGTTTGCATGTTCTCCCTGTGCCTATGTGGGTTTCCTCCGGGTACTCCGGTTTCCTCCCACACTCCAAAGACATGCTGGTAGGTTAATTGGATCCTGTCTAAATTGGCCCTTGTATATGAATGTGAGTTAGGGACCTTAGATTGTACGCCCCTTGAGGGTTAGGGACTGATGTGAATGTACAATATATATGTAAAGCGCTGCGTAAATTGACGGTGCTATATAAGTACCTGTAATAAATAAATAAATAATCTGATTTGATCTGTTAAACTTCTCGGTCTCTTTCTGGGTTAAGCATCTTAAGCCTGAGGGCCCGGGGTCAGTAGGGGGCCCCATGAGATGCCCCTGGTAGCTTTTTCATAGGCTTTTTTGAGTTTGGGCAAGGACACAGGGGCCCCATGATCCCCTATTGCCCGGGGGCCCCATGAGTTGTCAGTCCACCCCTGCCTGCCAGAATAGAATAGCACAGCAGGGGAGATCACCGCACTAACATTGCTTCTGTTAGTACGACGACCTCTTCAAGCCTGCTGGATTGAATGCAAAAAAAAACTTCTAGTGTGTATTTGGCTTAAAGTGATATTAAAGCTTCCAGTTTTTAAAAGTTAAAATACCAAACGTGTCATACTTTCCCACTGTAAAGGTTTTGCATAGAGCAGTCCCAATCCTCCTCTTCTGTGGTCCCTCACTGGCACTCTTGGCTCCTCCTCTTCTCCGTGTGCC